TTCGCTGAGATTAAGTTAGTGAGCATGTGATTATAAATGTTAGACTAGTGTTGAAATGTGGATGAATACGAGGAAAGAGATATACTCGAACATTAAATTATAAAGTAATCTTATCTATATACTTCAACGAAAAACTTACTTGTATAAGAGCGCAATTGTAAAGACGTCTAAACTGTTGATAAGAGCTTAGCGCATAAACTACTCTTGCATAATTTTCAGTTGCATGATCTTTGCTATTTGAACTAAATAGGCATCGTTGGAGAAAGAAATGCGAAAACAAAATAAGTGAACATAACTGGTAGCTTGTTGTAGATAAAGTGAGGGCTCTTAATTTATAGAGCTCGTCAATAACACCTAAAGAGCGGGTTGGATGGCGATTTTCAGATAGTGCTTTAAACTATTTAAATTTTAGATTATTTTAATAAGACAATCTCCGTAAGGTACCTTTAAAACAACGAGGTTGGTCATTTCAAGCGTTCAGTTTTGCTGTTTTTTGGCTTTTCTGTTGTTGTTGTTGCTGTTGTTGTTGTATCGTTAAAGCACGCGCCATTAACTTGTGAGTGACGTCACTTTATGACATTTAGGTAAATGTTGCACAAATCACTTCCGGAGATTTCAGTCCATATGCTGCTATTATAAGGTAATAAAAGCATGATAAGGAATGCTCAATGACTGTACTCAATGTTTAGGTTGATTTTGTTACTTTGATGTACAGGCGAAAGAGGATTAAATAAATGACCAGGTGTCAGCAACATAAAGTTTTATCTAAAGTACAGTTCGTTTATTGTAACTCACAATAGTTGCATTATTGATTATTCAAAATGCAAAAAGAATGAGATTTTATAAGGAAAGGGGAAAGTAAAATTTGTTATTAATTTATTGGTAAATATTGATTAATTAACAGTTAAAGATAAATAGTAATGATAAATGCCTTGTAACATTTCATCTTCTTCCCCGCATTTCGTGGACTGGATCCCATCGAGTAGCGAACTCGCCGTAAAAATCACCCAAGCTCAGCTACCGCATAGACTCTCTTCATGAGCCTGTCGACAGACGTCTACCACATCACAACATATTCCTTACTCATCAATAAACATCCCGTGTTTCAAATAGAACCTTCACTTTGTGCAGGTAACTAAATAAAAGGCTAAAAACTCCAATGATTAAGCCCTAAACCCAAATTCTACTAAGACGCTTACTTCCGCATCTTGAAATGCGCGTGAGGTACTAGGTCCACAAATTCATTTCGGAAAATTAGCCATAGACAGCTGATCTGTCGACACTTTTGACAATTTTAAGGGTCAAGATAACCTAAAAAAGCCACCTTATCCTCTTCAATTTCCCGGTGACTTGATAAAATTTTAACACACTGACACAGTATCCACTTTCCCAAGGAGTTAGAACGACACTTTTGGTCAAAAGATAAAAAAGACAAGGTCGTCAAACGCGCAAATGTGATTGTACTTCCAGAGCTACGAAATACACTGAAAGGGGACAGAGAAGGAGGATTGACACAAATGCATATTCAACCACCGCTGACGGCAGCGGGAAAATTTAAGAGCAAAATTGAAGCAGACGGGTCGATGAGTACACAAACAGTACACGCTGACAAGGCTAGGCAATATTGTACAAAAAGACGGCGGGAGGCGAGAGGAAGAAATACGCATAGAAGTGATGGGAGATGTGACGTGTATGAAGCGTTACATAAATATATGCTATATCAATTATTATCGTGTGTCATTACGAAGACGAAGATGAGTGTAGAATGGTATCAGAACGGTTGAGGATATCAGTAGAGGGTTTAGGGTTGTGAGAAGCATTACTGTTTGGTGAGTGGCAGAGAGCTGGAGCTGAACCGGCAGAGGGTCGACAATGCCAGAGAGCTGTGGGAGGGACCTCATCCTCACTGACCTTGATCACATTGATCCCTGCGCCGTCATGGTTGACGTATTTCAAAGATAAGGGAAAAGAGTTGGATCGCGGAAGGGAGATCTTGGAACCGGATAGGGTGAGTGGACTGGTGTCGTGAAGGGCTTCACAACTGGCCGCGTCGCGTTCCATGTGATATTGAATCTAAAACCCCACAGAAATTTCAGGTTAAGAGGGCCTTCAAACAGCCACCACTAACAAGACTTTAACACTCTTGATCAATTAGACAATTTCACAACTGGGAATTGAGACGTATGCTAAAAGCATAGGAGAACATCTGCCGGAGCAATTATAATGTACATCCGTGGTTAAATAATGATAGGTATCGATCGTATAGAGAAGCACGTTTAGCTCCTAAGTCACAACATAGCTCTAAACTATTTAGAATCATCACTTTTATGCTTAATTTGAGCCAGCGTTATTCATTGCCAGATCATTTGGATGTGTCAGCTAAGTGATTAGAATGAGAGCCAAGTGAAATTTTCCTTCCAATTGAACGAAATCAGTTATGCTTCTTTCATGCCTAAATCCAGTTACATAGTAGCTTAATTTATTGCATGAATGAGCACGCTACATTTCGTGCGTAACTCAACTCCTCATCACAATTCAAACAGGCATAAATTAAAGGATATCAAAGTGAAAAGATCGGGCTCCTCATGAATATTTACTTTAAAGCAAAAAACAACAACTATGTTTACAAGATTCAAAAATGATTGGATTTGATATGACCCATTCCGAAAGTAAACAAACCGATCGACAAGCCATTAAAATACTAGTTTGGAGGGGGGAGGGGAAGGGGTACATTCACAATATCTGGACGTTAGAGAACCACGAAAATGGAAAAAAATAAATAAATACACTGCGATTCTTGTCACTCTGGCTTCACTCTGATTAAAACTTGCAGATAGCAATGGTGTCCCGCTGGAGAAATATATTATATTATGCCATGAGGTAACAGTATATAAGAACACCTGAGTGCAAACAGATGGAAAGAAATAGGGGGGGGGGCTAAGAACATCAAACCAGGGAGTTAAGCCAACCGATCGACTAGTTGGGAGAGCATTGTGGACATGTCCACACACACACACACACACACACACACACACGCACACATGAAATTAACTGGGAGTAATCCAATGAAGACGGGGCATTATGCCATGAAAAGTGAACCTTCCACTCTTACAATAACATGGACAATATAAAGCGACAAAATGCCAATGCAAATGCTCATTACTTGCTGTTTTTCCACGCGTGTTCAACATGATAAAAACTCGAAAACGCATTTAGCTTCGCCATTGATAATGAAATTTATCAAACATGGCGACTTATTAATGCCATGTGCAAAAGTTTCCACTTTTGAGATTACAGATAATGCTTGAATAAAGCTCAACAACATCAATTCTATTGAAAAGAGGGGAGGCAAAGATAGTGATTATGAAGAGTGAGAGCCAATACTCCAGATGGAAGCGATGTGACATTTCAAGCTCCAGTTATGGCTGGAATAGATCCCGAAATAACTTAAAACGTTCATATTGACGCATGTGACGTGAATCGTGCTTCGAAAAATTGGAAACCGAAAAAGTGAAAAAAAATATCATAAGATCAAAGTGCGTACCTGTGGTTCCACGGTGACCCTGACACTCCTCACCCTAGTATGTTTCAACGGAACCCAATGATGAGCTCCTTCATTAGACGACTCTGAATTTGAATGTGTGGTCAAGCGTTTTGGTGATTGGCCACCTGACTTGGGGGAATTTTTATGCCCTATTGACGGTGACACGGCTTTTCCAGTTGATGGCGTGCTTATAATGTTCACCGAACCTGCTCTCATAGGCGCGGCGGTCATGATCAATCCCTCATGAGTCAAATCGAGAGTTTTCGCCAAGACACCACCGCCACTACTAACTGTAGTACCCCGTTGGCACTCTCGATCACCGCGTCTGTGACCATGGCGACTGTGTCTGCGACCGTTTCGAGTCATGATGATTGAAGTTGGCGTTACTTCATGAAGTCGACGAGGTGTCCGAGTTTTCATACGTATCTTAGTATCACAGTGCTGGTGATGATGGCCGAGAGAGGAGGGCTTGAGACCAACGAGGAATGATGTGCAGTAGCGGTGTCGAGACTGATGCGGCTGATGGTTAGTATAGTGGTGCTGGTGATGCTGGAATTGTTTTACCGGCTGTGGAGATAGGAAGTGGGTGGCAAGGAAACGAGCAGCGCGTCGAATGGGATGAAGTGGGGTTCTGAAGTATAATAAGTATGCAATAAATTTGCTCGAATTTTAAGATGTAGCTTCTGAGAAATGGATAGAAGTAAATTAAGAGTAAGGAAGGAAAAAAAGAAAACTAACTGGAAGCATAGCAAAAAGAATGTCTAGTACACGTTTCTTATTCCTTTTCATGTTGACTTATAAGTACTTTTTAATCAAGGGAGAAAAGTGCATGTGAAAATGGCTTGAGTTTGATGGGAGATTAAACAACAAAATTCAATTAGCGTGCTATTCCCGCCTCTATATAGCCCTTCTGTCACGTCAATTGCTTAATGCAATATTTCTGAGAAAATTACCCTATATAATTTATTTACGTAATATCACGACCTAATATTCACTTCGTTCCTCAATAATACTACTTAATAATAACAAATTCAACCGTGCCGTTGAGTGCTACAAATAGGACCTTTATTAAAACATGCACAGTCTAGTTACCTATTTTTAGAGAGAGAGAAATACTTAGTATTAACAGTTTAAGATTGTATCTTGGCCACATAACACACATAATATGGGCAATAAGCCATTAAATGCAAATGCAGTAATTAAAAAGAAGGATTTACTGTTCAACAGTAGGTTTGTTTCCTGTGGCAAGTGAGTAAGCCGGTGGTGGTGATTCTCCACGTGTTTGGATAACGAGTGGAGGCGAACCAGCTGTGGGAACGGGAGCAGTGCCAGGGAGAAGACATTGATGAGCCAGTCCTCCCTCAGGTGTCCTCAAGAGAGCACTAGGAGACCCTGTCAATGGTGGATTCACGTCCACAATGATGGGCCATTTGGTTGGGGCCGGATTAGCGGGTGATGTTCCCTCGGTCACACTCATCCTGAAAAGGAGAAGCACAACTTAAATGAGTGGTTCGATATTAATGTCCCCTGATCGTCTAGCGGTTAGGATTCCTGGCTCTCACCCAGGCGGCCCGGGTTCAACTCCAGGTCAGGTAGCCAGGGGTGTGCGATAGACTTACCTCCACGTGGTGCACACTGGGCAACGTATACACATACGGCAAAAAAGTCTATTACCTGGCAGTTGACTTCTGACTTCAAACTACCATCACCCCACTGTACGTCATATTCGACTACTTCCATAGTACTCACCTCACTTTTATCTACCTTCGTCTTTGAAACACTCTTCTGCCCCCCCCCCCTCTTGACTTTTTTCACTTTGATGTTCCTTCCGCTCTGTGAAACCTGAAGTCAACTAAATGGCCAATGATAACCATCAAAACGCCTGCCATTTGATATAAATATTAGTGTTTTGCCACTTAAGCAGCAGGTGAGTCTCGCTTGAGTAACAAAAAAATCAGTGCACACAAAATAATCATATATATAATTGATAATGGTGCTGATTTATTGCATACAAAGAGCACTGGATGAAGGCATGCAACAAGAGAACAATCGAAGTTTATTTAAAAGTCCATGTAGATGAAATCAGATTATGCTAGGCCAAATATTATAGCTAATGTTACTTTTTCAGAATAATCATCTACGTATACTTGCATTTTGCCATATAAAATGGGCATACAATAGCGAGAAGGTAAAAAATCACAAATGCGTGAACCTAGGAGATGATTAATGAATAAAGAGGAGTTTGTGTCAACGTGAACAAAAATTGCACTACAATTATTAAAGTGCACACTTCAGCTCCTTGCTTTTCCCGTCGAGTTGAAAATAATGACACATTCTAGACCCACAATAAAATTTGCCGCCAAAGATAACAAAGGAAGGTATAGCTAGTCTTAGTAGCAGAAAATAGGATTTGAAAACGTGCAGTAGCACTAACATTAATTCATCGAAAAAGTTAATCGATCGGCGGCTGCAGCGGCTATTAACTAGCGCAGCGAATCAAGATAACGAGAATGCATTATGAGAACAAATTGGATGTTTTCCTTATGCTCACACAATGGATTATTGATTCGATTGGATTATCACGCGCACATTTGGACATGTGAGACCATCCGTGGAGAAGCCGTTCCTGCAATCATTGGCTAATCAGGCAGCCAATCATTCATCGCCTATTTCAAGCTCACGTGTGCATATTTATTTTGTTAATAAAAACCGTCGTATGAACAATAATTCATGCCTTTTCAGCTTCTTTTAGTCCGAATTACAATAGCTTTAAAGAATGCCAACTGAGAAGTTTGGAAGAAGCATTGTCCATGTCATCCGCTTACGAAGAACTTGGAGTTTTACCTTAAGTGATTTTAGACACACAGAAGCTTCTCAAAAATATCAAATCGAATAGTATTTTGAGGGTACAAAAGGGCAATTGTCTCTGTTTATGATCTGTAAATGTTTTTTTAAGCAGCAAGGATTATCGTGCTCTTTTATTATTCAAGGCTGTTAAGCTTTAGAAAGGTAGCTGTCTGGACTGATTTTACGCCTGAGGACACTTGATGGACCAAACTATTTCACATTTTTGAATATAAGCTTAAGTGAGTCTTGCTAGAAAGATGTAAGTAGTATAAGGCATGCATTTCGGATCAATAGCGAAATTTCGTTCAATGAAATGCTCTTTTCGATCCGATATCGCATTTCGCTCCTTTTCAACACTAATCTCGTAAGCGAAGACACCTTGGAGTCCCTGCATGTCAGGAAAGCATATTTAAGTCAATTGACTATTGAGATATATTTATATATACATATACAGATCATCAAACCTATTTATTACAGCATCACACGATCGCCACACGAAATGGTCAATTGTCTCTGTTTATACGCAGTAAGTGGCATTTTCAGAGAGTAAGGATTATCATAAGATTAATTTTAATCGTGCCTTTTTTCTAGGGGCTGTTAGGTTTTTGAAAGGTAGCTGCCTGGATTAACTTTATGCTTGCGGCTACAATCTAGAAAAGGCATCTAATTATCCATCGCGATCTCTCTTACCATGCTTCATATCTTAGTTGCTATTTTGAATTTGAATGCTCATATTACCATAAACCAATTTTGAATTACGGAGGCAGTGAGATTAGCGATTTGGATTTTCTAAGGCACCAATCGAAATCAGTAAGAAAAGAAACACTTCGCGAGAATAAAAAAAGCTGTTCCCATTGTGTTTAGAATTTTCTAAACAGTGTTTAAGATTTCGGTCCAGATCCACATTTGAGGCAGACACACCATGAAAATATTTCCGAATGCATATATATATATATATATATATATATATATATATATATATATATATATATATATATATATATATATATGCATTCGGGCAAGTGAAGCTTTGCAGTTTAGCTATCCCCCCCCCTCCCCACCATACCTATTTCAAAGATCACTTCGCTGGGAGAAATGAGCGAGTTTTAAATCAAGCTAACAAGACCAAAGGTTCACGACATTTGATATTTCACATATGCAAACGCTATTTTTAACCAATTCCCTAGTACAAGTTGCGTGTACTCTAAGAGTAGAAGAGAAGATTAAGCATATTAAAAAACAATTCTCTCTCTCTCTCTGCACTACCAAGTGAAAAAATCGAATGACTCAGCTGCTGCTGCTGATGCTATAGCCAATGATATTGTTGACACTAACAGTGCTTCTGTAAACGAGACCGCATCAATGCATGATTGAGTCAGAAGTCGTCAGTTAACTATCTTGCGCTTGTTGACTACAACCAGTTGGCTAGCCAACTCTAGAAGAGAGATTACCAAAACAACCGCCCGATGGCCAAAAGCTCATCTATATCAATTATATATCTAGGCGTTCCCAAGTAGACTTACGGGAGTAGCTGTAGTCAAGCATTACACCGACTAAGGAAAACGCAACAAAGGTTTGAGGTGGTAAACAATTTAGAAGAAACAGGAAAACAACAGCCGTTGTCTACTTTCGCAAAATAACAATCCCACCCCCACCCCCCCCCACCCCCACCCCCNCCACCCAGGAAAAAGGGCCAATGTGAGGATTAAAAGCAAAATAATAGCGGAGTGGGTATATTCACTGGCATTGTTAGTCGGTTAAAATAGTTTTGTTATTGCATTTTTTGCGGAAAAAATCCCAACTAACGCTCCCATTCCACTGAGAGTTATAAAAATCTAATCTGCCGAGTGGATCAGATTGCCGAGTAAGTTAACACGGCCCTTTGAAGGCGGGTTGATTGATAGAATTGTCTGGCTCATGTAGATTCAAAAAACAGATTCAAATGTGTGTTTCAATAAAAAAATTTGACTCTCCTACTCACAAGGATTTGCAAACAATAATTTCACGTCACTGAGAGGAACCAGTATTTTCAAAGCAAAAAAAAAATGAATCAATAGAACCATTACTTCAATCATGTGCGACCTGAGCACGTTAAACAAAATCAACCAATGAAGGGGGGTTTAAGTAATAAAGAGGTTGGCATTAATAGTATCACTTTTAATGTAGTGAAAGTGTGTTTCTAAATGGATACATTGTGCACAAGTTCAACTCGAGTCAAAGACTTTAAACCCTTTCATCGTGAAAATTCCGTAGATCTATTATCTTAAAAGCGATACATTATTTTACGCCAATCATCCTATCATCATAAATTTTTTTTGAATGCTATTTGCAACAATAACTGGATCAATTACAAGCATGTCCTTCAACTCGCCTGAGGATACGATTTTGTCACATGTCTTCAAAATTCTTTTGAGCATTTAAAAGAAGCTGATTGCTGAGGATGACCGGTTTGAAGAATGTGACTCACTGAGAGGAGAGATTAACACCCACCCCCTTAGGGTGGTCTCTCTTGAAATATCTATTAGGAACGAACAAAAATAGAAAGAGGCCCAATGACTGCCCAGTGGGAATTCTGTCATAGTAGAAGTGCTTCCCAAAACATGCTTTTTATTAGTCATCCACCACAGGCACCTGCGCAATCATTTCGATACTGTATTAGAAGAATTAAGAAGATTTTAAATGCCATCTTCAATCCACCTTGACTCCTACTAAATGAACAGACTATTCTTTGGCACTGTTTCGGCTTGAAAAAACGGACAAGATTAGTAAAAGGAGTCATTTACAGTAAACCGGCAGACAACTCCCACCTTCACTTACTCTAGCTTTGGTACAAAGTGAGTAGCTGTACTTACCGTGCACTCAGTATTTTCAATGAGAATCAGGTTAATCAGTTTCACTTTATGCTAGATATGCTTGGAAAATTCCCACCCAGCTTTGGGTTCCCACGGTAGTTTCAGAAAATATCGGTTCAAATTTTGCTTAAGAGATTTTTAAATCCTATTGGTAAAAAACACAACACCATCAAAAAAAGCCTGTCAAATCACGCAGACCAGAGGTCACGAAATCAATGAGCATCGATGCACGTTGAGTGATGTAAACGGCCGATCACGCTGGCTACTTCAGAGCAATAAGAGGAGTGCTAAAGCAACTCCACGACATCTTCAACCCATTCAAGTCAAGCGCTGCAAACACTTCTAATGAGATTGGGAATTTTGAAATCGAAGCAGTTCATGAATTCACTCCACATAACAAACCAATGACAATAATTCACCCAAGTGTGAGCTCGGTGGCAAAGTGGAGATAATTAAGTCGTGTCGTATCAATCCTCTAGACAGTAAGATGCCTTACACGGAAAATTATTGAGACAACATATGCTTAGACAGGAATGAATCATCAAGAAATATGAAGCAAGCGCCATGCCGATTTTCCTAATGGTTTCAAATTACAACGACACTGGCCTAGATACTCATTTGCTTTCGTGTCTGCGCCCAAAATGACAATTACGATCCTTTATGTCCGTTTATATGAAGGGGCAAACTCCGGAATTACGGCGAATTGCCGAGCTTGGATAAGAAAATTTTGAACCGTTATAATTGATTTCAGTTGGTATCTAAGCCTTTGTGATCGTAAATTTAAATGCTACTTCAGTAAAGCATACATCTACATTCGCTTGTTTCCGACAGTCAAGTTCCGGTTAAGTTAGCTTTTGCTACTAGTATTGGAAAACTGGTCGAGGAGAAGGAACGCTGATTCCCAATAACGCGTGAATGGAAGGCTTTTTTTACTTGAAAAGCGACTCTAGAATTAGAGATGAACATTTATCTGAAAAGCGTTCACTTAAATCACATTTGATCATGCTTTCTCCGGCTTCAGGAATTTGACTGTCCTGAAGACAGTTTATTAATCAAGATAAACTAAGCCAAAGAGAAGACCAAACTAGTCCTCTCTGAGAAGAAGCGCTGATTTTAGTGCCTATCGCATGACCCCCAACTCGACCACACCATCACTTGGACTCTTTATCAAGTATTAAAAAAACAAGAATCAACGTGGATTCTTACAAATTCAAAGACGGTAAGACCCAAATTTACTCAATTCAGTGAATCATAGACGTCCTCACAATTGCCATCAAATTTCGATGCATGAGAATTGAAACACCTAGTCAATCAGAGTGAAAATTTTCACACGGTTCTCCAGAGCAAAACCGGTGTAAATGAAACAACCCAGACATCGGATGATAAATGCACAAACATCCGCCGCATGCATCCTAAGTAGTGTCAAAGTTCGAAACAAGTACTATTTTCAACACTTGGCGAACTTAGCACACAGCATGCGTTTTAAGAGGGAGGATGATTCACACAAGCTAGACAGGGCACATTCACAAAGCGTCTCAACCTATCCGCTTATGGAAACGCTTTAAAACAAATTCAGACAGGGTGCGTTATGTGGAAGGCCTAGGGAGGGCTTAGCGTTTGGAGTAAGTAGACAAATTTCAGTGCTAAGCATAATGCGTTTGTAGAAGGTAGTCAAACGTCTAGGAGAACATAGCATTTCTGTCTTCAGGAAGACGAGAAGTATCCGCGTGGAAGACAGGCATTTTAAAGATATCTGCTGTACTACTAACAAACTTTTACCAGCTGATGGGTCAAATTAAAGCTGATATGATTAATTGCCCCGCTTTGGTGATAGGAAAGGATTAAGACGAAGTAAAAGCAAGATTCAAATGGTTAACGTGAATGTCTAAAAATCGAAGGAGTAATTGGCACACATTGCTTTGAACTTATTGATCGGCAGAGGAGCAGAAAACTACGAGTTTCTCATCAGGAGGACTCCGGAATGCTGAAAATTCAGGATAAAGAAAACTCCAATTTCAATTGGTCAAATATCGATAGCGATTCAGTAGGTCAAGTATTTGACACACGAATTGAAATTAATCTGGTTCGTGTCTCATTACTTGCCGTACTCGCTACTACGTCCACCATTCCTTTTGGCTACATATCTACTGAAAGCGTGGCAAACAATTTGAGAGTAGTCATATACGCTTAATCAGGGGGTCAAAGTTTCATTCCCCCTTTCGTAGCAATAAAAAAGGGTTAAACAATGTAGTTAACAAAACGAGATGACAGTGCAAACGACTAATTAGGTAGAGGAAGGAAAGGTAGAAAAAATAGTTACCGTTAGCTTCTAAGGAGAAACAAATTTTGTGGATAGCAAATTCACCCTGATCTCTACACAGAAAGACGGATTAGAATAACAAATTAAGGAGAGAAAATCGTGGGCACAATCGAGGCTATTGATAAAGACGGATACTTGTTTTAGAAGAAAAAAATACAGCAATGGCTTCCAGCTTTTTCGCATTAGAATGAAAACGTGTTGCATTAAAACGGACGCCAGGAAATTTGTTCAAAGGATCAATAATGATTAAATCACGGAGCACTAATTGCTAACAAAAGAATAAAGCCAAAAATAAGTCCTATCTCATTTAACTCTCCATCTAATCGAATACTGCTGCAAAATCCAAATCCAGCTAATTTCAGGAGGCATAAACTTCACCAGGACAAGAATTTACAAGTAAATTATAATTACGATGGAATAAGTGGATGAAGTGGAGTGGACAAACCTTGCAGCCGAATTGGAAAGCACAGCATAGACGACATTCGTTGTGACACCGGAACGATTGGGTGGTGGCTGCGAGTCGAAGAATCTAGTAGCCGCCATTTGATGACGAGCCTCAGGGGTGAAATGAGGGTTCCAGAAGGCCACTGGTGGCGGCGGTGGTGGTTGAAGAGGTCCAGGTAGGGGGACAAAAGTTGCTTGAGACATCAATCCAGTGGCCTTAAGTAGGACGACGAGAAATTGGTTAAAAAAGGCCCAATTCATCAACGATATACTTGTCATGTGTAACAACCCTATTTCCTATCGATCTTCCCACGTTATATAAGGGCATTTTTAGCTCAACTTACTTAATTGGATTCGCTTCAAGAGTATTATCTATTCGACTTGCTCTCACCATAAAATGCCTACAACCATCTCTGTCTCTTTCTAATGCCGTAATAGAAAGTTGAGAAAAGCATAGTTCCGATTCGTTTTCTCCCCACCCCCCCCCCCTTAAGTGGGAGATTACCAATCTCGTGTAATCAAAATCAGAGAACTCAAGGCCAATGCGCATACAGCGATTAGGAATAACCAAACCACTGTGATTAGTAGCAGTTAATAGAGGCTTGTGAAGGTAATCTTTGTACTCTTCTGTGGTATGGGGAATTATTATTCCCTTTAATAATTAAGAGGATGGATTTTCGGCCTATGTCGAAGTAATAGGGGGAAAAAATGATTCGGTCTAGATTTTCCACTAAACAAGACCGCACGGCTATTCACACAGAGTGCATATACCCTCTTGAATATTTATGAGTAGAGTGAGGTCAATTAACGAATTAGGTCTAGTAAGAACTACGCCTCTCGTATTATTTCTAACATAGTTAGTAAACGAAAATCTGTGAAATGCGAATTACCACAGGAGATGTGATGCATGAAACCATAGCGCAAATACTCTGAATTCTTACGCTTACAAAGAATTATAGATTTAAAATTAGACTATTTTCAATTGTCAGTCGTACTCAATCTATAAGCTGAAAGAACGTTCTCATCCTTTCGAAATAAGCTGGTATTAGTTCCACTGTAATTTACCCTAATGAGTCTCCATTATAATGCTATAAGCAATCTATGTTCACTTTTGGGATCTAGTTAACCTATCTTCCAATTTTTCTTCATTTAATATGTGGCGCTTAACAACCATTACGCAAAATTGTATGGTTGCCATAGCTAAACCCCTATCAAGTTATTATTCAAGCCTCTAGTATCTACAAATCTAAACTAGGAGCCCCTATTTACTCAATGCGGTAATTGATTTCCAACAATCGATAAACTATGCACTTCCGCCTCACCCGAACGTGACTAATCCAGACGACAGATCACAAGGCCGTTAGGATTGTCATTAGAAGCATTGCTTTAAAAACTATGGCTGGAAGTCCTCAGGACAACAAAAAACAGTCCGAAACGGACTTTAACTCAATTCATCGCGTCCGAAGAATGTGCGCGCGTCCACTAATTGGAACAAAGTTGTTTATGGTGAGAGAGGGGGAGAGAGAGAAGGAGAGAGAGATAGTGGGTATGACACTTAAAATGTGACGAAAACGCTCGCAAGAGCTTGGGTCATAAAACGGTACTCTTCCTTCCTTCAGTCTCCCGATTAGACCACCCAAAGGGTTAGAGAGACGAAGTCGTTAAAACTGGACAGTGTATGCTTTCATATTACCACAGTGATGTGAGCAGCATCCCCACAAAAAGGCCAAAGTTCAGTAAAATGGTTTAGTGCCATTATTGTCGCTAGCACGTCATTTCAGCAAATAGGATATCCTTTTTTGGCATATGTATGTGTATTGAATTATGCTTACAACCCAGAGAACAGGAAGTCAAATTTACGTATTTTGCTGAAATTGAAATTGGTAGAATAGTGCCACTCTATTTAATTCAGATTCGTTTCCACTACAGTGAATAGTTCAAATCAATCACATTCTAGTAAAATACTCCCATTTAATATTTTAATTCAAACATAGCACACTTCACCGTTTTAGTTTACGGGAGTACAAACATTTATTCCCATTTGAATTTTAGGTCCAACGTATTTGGTGTAGTGCCTCCTTTCATTGATTAGTTAATTGAAGTAGACGAATTAATTAACCAAATAATGAGAAATACATTGTGTGGAGAAAAAGGTGAATTCTAAATTAGATCCATGGTTAAACCTGTCGGCTATTGGCTTACTTGCTGAGCCAATAAGTGATATGAAATTTATAAGAAATTGCGACATTTTAATTAGTCCATGAAATAGAACACATTTATCCATTTACCGAAAAAGCAATTCTAAGTTTAAATTCGACAATTTCATTTCCATCATTGCTATATTTTTTGCCATTCAATTGATCCTACTCAGACAGTAGGAAGTTCGTGTACCCACTTGTTCCTGCGGTTAAATCTAAAGGGTTTTTGAGTGAAAATAAATGCAAGATATACAATGCGCCCTACCTCAAGACTGAAGAATGACGCCCTTTGCAATTCCAAAATTATTATCCAGGTCCTAACTAATCTTTGGGATTTGAGTATCACAGCCTCACAGTGAAGCTTAAAATGCTTGACCCTACTGTAACCTCAATACTATTACTGAGCTCAAAATTGCGTTTTAAGAGCTAACTTCTGAAGTTTCTGCGATTTGTTTGATTACCGAAATAAGCTCTTTAAGTGTTCCGATCAGAGATATCAGGAACCTATGCTACTCCTGCATGAAACTATATAATGACCCCCCCCCCCCCCCCCTCCTTAGAACGCACAAATACTCGCCGCTTTTTCACCACAGATCTCTCCCAATTCTCTTCTACTCTTCCATTACCTTAACCTTTGTTACCCCCTTCACAAGCTGGTGACGCTGTGAGCATTTACCCGTCCGATCAACAATAGCTCCTTCCAGAACAAGACCTAAAATTAAGGAATTTCTGTTTAGAAGCAAGACGAGTCCTTAAAGAGACACTAGTAAAGATAACAGGATGGAGAATTCAACCAGGTAGTTATGAAGATTTACGAGGCTATTTCCTTAAAGTACAGATTAATTGGGACAAATAGAGAGAAGAAACGACTCATTCAACATTTCAATTACTCAGAGATCAGACCACCATTAAAGGATGGTAACAAAGAGCTTGATGTAGGTACCCAAACTAGTCACAGCTTATAGTATCACCTAATGAGTCCGACGCAAACTAGAATAACCAAGCAAGTACAAGTTTAAAGAACTTTCAATTCGCATATCGATTAAAAAGGATAGGAAACTTTTAATAGGCAGTCCGTGTGCATTTGCGCACCAGATGACCTCTCTAGGGCAGGGCGCCGACGTCTTGATGGCATTCATTCGTGACCTCCTTCCCCCCCCCCCCCCACAAATGAGGGCATCATTAATGCCTCTCACCTAATAACTCCCAATACCACCACACTCCTATTTACCTTGCCCTTACTCTTGCAGGGATTTTAAATTAAAATCCTAAAGCAGACCTAAGTTGTAGCTTTCACCATAGTGACTGAAAGTCATAAATCACAAATGTGTACTTTAGACCAATACATCTAATTAAGTCCTAAGGAGCTAGAAGCAAATTTCTAGTAGCGTTTAAATGGAGCGTCTTATAAAACGCCTAAACAAGTGACTATATATCTATTTAGAAACGAAATCTACGATAGAAATGCTTCCTTTGGCTGTCAAAACTATGGTACCTAGAGGATAGGCACTCCAATTCCCTACTTTCAAAGAATTACATTTGCAACAAATTTACATCAACAATGGTGAAATCTCCAAAGAGGTGTTGAAAAACTGACTGCTAAATATCTGTGACACGTTTTGACCAACTAATACTATTGTTTAATGGTTATTCAAGCAGTGGCACAATCACCCTAAAAGGCCACAATGACCTTTAAAACATGCAACGACAAAAAACACCCAGCCAAACAATTCTGTTGTTGTTTTAACATAAACAAAAGGGGAGGAAAGTCATTTGAAGAAAAGAAATGCAATTCAAAAAAAGAGGATTAGTGTCAATCTTGAACTGAATAGCCAACAGATAGGACAAAATAGGCGACAGCAGGTGCGATCAAACAGAGCTATCAACGATTAGGCAAGAGGCCGAAATTTAGCTCCCACTGCTACTTTAGCATTAAAACGAAAATGGCACATTAAGTGCACTTATTGGCTATAGTGTCTTGCTTATCAGCAAGTTATCCGGGCAGGACTAAGGCAGTTACCATAAAAGCAATTAGGCTGTTAGTATCTCATCTACAATACGTATTGTCGATGTGAGGCAGGCATGGTGATTTTTCCAAATTGCCAATTTTTGCAGCGTAGGCACTGATCGGCCAATGTGAACATAAGGGCAACTTGTGAGACGAATCAGGCACCAATCTAAGTGTTAACAGATGAGCTAAATTAGGAATAAATGAACCAGAAATAAGACAGTACTCCATGGAATCGATTTAACGACCACGCGATTTAGTTTAAGAAGCCAACAACCAATTTCTCTACCAAATATCAATCAGAACAACTACTCAGTTAATCCGTGCATGGTTTCCATTTTCCGACGCATCCCCCGGATAAAGAGGTAAAACACTCAAACATGCTCAGATAATGATGTCATAAGATTGGCATTTCTTGATGCAATAATAGTACGGCTTAAACGATGAAGATGTGTCTCACTTTAACATAAGCCAAAACTTACTTGTTCATAAGATGGCAGAGCAGCCTTAGCAACCGAAGGCATCTGATTGAACGGTAGCGATTGGGGAAGATGGTACAACAGCATGGCCGACTGATGAGCCACAGACGGTGGTAGAGGACACATGAGAGAAGACGACGGCTGTTGCTGTGGCAGAGAGGGAATAATTTCCCTCTTCTTTTCCATTTGTCCAGTCTCCCTGTTGCTGCTGCAGCAACAACTATTCAGCATCAAATTCCTCGTTCCCCACCTATGTCGCAGTCGACCTTGTCGAAACATCAAAAATCTGCTCCCACCTCGTCTCCTCCTACCAGCAAAAAAATTACCTTCCTCTTCATATTCTTCAACAGCTAACCTAGCTCCTTTCTCACTGCCCAGGTTCCCATTAAAGTAGAGATCTGAGGGGACAGATCGAGAAGAAGAGTTCTCTGAAGCAGATCCAAGAACGCGCCGACCACCGCCCGCTGAAGGTGCAGAAACCTCATCCAGAGAAGAGCTAGGTCTTCGGAGGTGCTCCGTGTAGCGATAAGGATGCTGTCTACGCCTGTGTCTACGATGACGACGACAGTTGAGAATGGTGAATAGAGGCAGGCAGAGAACACCATCGTTCATGCCAGGTGACGAGAGTGATGTAGAAATGTTTGAGTTGGAGGTGGAAGAGAGTGAGAAGGTGGAATTCACTTCGCTGGTGGTAGCTGAACAAGATTCAATGTCTTCTTTAGTGAGAGAGAGCCCGCAGGCTATGAGAATGTTCTGTTTGCAGAGAGGACAGCTGCGGTGTTTCAGTAGCCATGGATCAATACAGGCGCGGTGGTACATATGCCTGAAAGAGCAAAATGACAGGCGATATAGTAGCTAGGGCTTAAATTGCTTGACAAAATGGCTGAAGAAACCTCACAAGGAAGATTGTATCCATTTCGAATCACGATGAGGTGTCACAAAACCTAATATAGTATTCAGAAGTAAGCAGTTCGCTCCACAAACTCAAAAGAAGTGAATGAAAACTAGCCAAAGTGGAAACGCGCTCATTCGCCATGTTAGAAATAGTGATAACAATGTCCATCGGTGCATAACCAGTGATGAGGGCGACCGAGCGCTGCAATTAATTATGGTCAACAATGGAGGTGGTAGACGATGAGTTCCTCTTAAGAACAGCTATAGAATACACTTCCTAGTATCACAAAAAGTATAGACATATGTTTTGATAAAAGAAGTCGACTATAAAACAGTTTCTAACCGAATAAAGTCAGGAAATAAGTGGAGAGGGGTATTCCTATCTCTATATCGAAATAAAGCGGGGTGTGCGATAGACTTACCTCCATGTGGTGCACCCTGGGCAACGTATACTCATACGGCAAAAAAAGTCTATTAATCAGCAGTTGACTTCTGACTTCAAACTACCATCACCCCACTGTATGTCATATTCGACTACTTCCAAGGTACTCACCTCACCTTTTTTCTACCTTTGTGTCTGTCTGTCTGTCTCTTACGTCTGTGAATCATTATTCTGTCCCCCTCTCGACTTTTTGCCACTGATGCTCCTCTTCCTTTCTGTGAAGCCCGAAGTCAACTAAAGGGCTAATGATACCTATCATAACGCCTGCCATT